TTCGACTCTTTACAAAGTTAATCCGCGTTGCTATTGGTCGACGTAGTCGCTGTATTTGCGTCGCATTCAATCTGAACTAATTGAAATGTCAGAGAAGATCTAGTCCTTTCAAGTCATTATAAAACTGTAACAAATGTTGTAATTAGATTAAAATTTGACCTACCAGAGCAAACTTTACTAATTCCAAGTTTAGTAAATTTTATTCTGGTCAAATTTCAATCTAATCTCAATTTTTTAAATTCGTAGTCTGATACGGGTTCGACGCTTCAAAAAGTTAATCCGCGTTGCTATTGGTCCACGTAGTCGCTGTAATTGCGTCGCATTCAATCTGAACTAATTGAAATGTCAGGGAAGATCTAGTCTTTTCAAGTCATTCTAAAACTGTAACAAATGTTGTAATTATTATGTAATTTTTGGGGTGTCCCATTCGGAAGAACAAACCCTGCCTCCTCGAAGATACCCTCCTATTTATTACTATGGAAAAAATATGTTCGTATTACGAACAAAGAATTTGAAAGCGCAGTGCGACGAATCCAATTTTAAACATCATCAATATACACCTGCTCATGTTGATTATTTAGCGAAATATACAGATCACATTCGCGTGCTTGCACAGATATTCCCCCGTGGTAATTAAAGGCAAACTCGACAAGCATGTACAATTTAATATTAGATGATATGTTAGGTTCTACTACTGTGTGAGCATTATCTAAAGGTCTGTTGGCATCGTGTGCCAATATACTGGAAAAACAGAGTCAGGCAGTGACCGACGAGATAAAAAGGTCTATTCACGCCCCATTTGCTCCTGTTTGCCTTAACGACTAATACCGTCGTTTTATTTACGATTTAAGCGACGGCATTGGTCGGTAGGGCAAAGTAGGAGTCTGTTGGGATATGCGAACAGACCTTTCATCTCGCAGGTCGCTTACCTGACCAGCCTGACTCTGTTTTTCCAGTACATTCCAGTCCTTATGTTACACATCACATCTCTTTTACCGATTTGGTAGAGATACCATCTGTTTGCCCCAATTTTCTCAAAAAGCATACAAATTAGCTATGATACTTACACATTTTTGAAATCTATTAAACAGTTAAATTTGATGGATCTCGCAGCTTAAAATGTTTTTGTGGAAAATAGGGATTTTTCTGAGTTACACTCTTTTTATTGTATTTTCTATTGCTGTTTTATAACTTGAATCTACATTTTACAACTCTAACGTTTCAATAGCAAATTTTTATTAAAATTTGAAGAGAATTTTTGCATTCGCTATTATTGAATCTGTCGATTTTTATGGTTTATCATCGTTTGCAGTAATTTTTAAAAACTTATAATAACGCATTATGATACTTCAATCGTCTTTTCTATTATTTTATTTAACTATACTCGATTTTCTTTTTAATGCGATGCATCATGAAGATTATCTATTGATATTGATTGAACTATACTTGATTTATAGAATAAAAAATTCAAGATCTTATGTAAAATTGCGTTCGTAATTTTAAAAGCGCAGTGCGACGAATCCAATTTTAAAGATCATCAATATGCATCTGCTCATGTTGATTATTTAGCGAAATATACAGATCACACTCGCGTGCTTGCACAGATATTCCCCCGTGGTAATTAAAGTCAGGAAATGAAACCTCGCGCATTTCGTATTCGAGTATTTGCAGAATGTCCGCTCCGAGAATTGGCGCGTATTGATCTGTTTTTCTTTACTCGTGGGAGATTAAGCTGCCGCTTTCGAAGAAGTCCCGAATGCGACGCAAAACTAACAATAAGTAGCACAACTTACAGTCCCTTAACTTATCGAGCCGCGACAAAGCTTTTAAGCTCCCTTACAAAACAAGTCACAAACGATTTCGTACTCATTTCATACACACTTGAGATTATTTTCCATTCCGTGTCCGTGTATGTGCACATGCGGCAGAGAGAGATATTTATAAAAAATATTCATAAGTTTGTGTATCAGAAAACATTAAAAGAGTTCCATATAGTTACGATGTTTTTCTTTTTTTATAATTCTGTAAAATTACGATATTGATTAAATTATTAAAGTGTACTTGAAATTAACAACCTGAACAACACGTATGTCTAAGGCCGGTTTTACATTGATCGTATCGTAGTGTCGCAAGCTTTGCAAATCATAGATTCGACCAATCAACGTTGAATTAGGACCAGTCTGCGACCCTTGCAACACTACGATACAACCAATGTAGAACCGACCTAAAAGACGACTTAAAGACGTCTTAGGCCGGTATTCATAGTCGACTCTTATTTCAATATCATCTTAAGTGTTGTCTTAAGAGGAATCTGTAATTGGTTAAAAACACATCTTAAATATAAAAACGGACTATGAATACCGGCCTTGAAGATGTCTTTTAGACATGCGTGCTCTGTGGGAATGTATAAATCGAGAGGGAAACCGCTGACCAAAATCTTGTACACCAATGCCCACTAATGCCCAGTGGGCATTACTTTATCTTATTATCTTCTTTTATCTTATTTATCTTGTTTTATCTTATTTCATTTTATTGTATCTTATTTTATCTTATTTTATCTTTATAATGCCTCAGTAAGACGTAATGCCCCAAAAATGCCCTAGTAATGCCCGGTAATGCCGCAAATCTGTACACCACAATGCCCTCAGCGGTTTCCCCCTCGGTATAAATATTAGATAAAATGTCGCGTGCAGTCTAATCTCGTATACCCTAGTACAATCTAATAATAAAAATGTCTATCCTACGCGGGAGTTTTCTATAAGCCTTTATGTTTATACTACGACAATTACGATAGAAAAGTCGACAGTCGATAAACCTCAACACCTCTAAAGTATATTTACCGTTGTATCCCTCGGGAAACCTAACCGGAGGGATGAAGATAATCCTTAAGGATTAGGATGAAGAATTTCATTCCGTGCCGATAGTCAAATGAGTATTTCTATTGAACCTGAGATATGTTACTAATTAATTTCCTGCGATTCAAGTTGCGTTTACAAAATTAAAAGACTTTAGTTTAGCTTAAATTATCAGCTGGAAAAGCGTTTATTCGACGCCTTGGTGTTACACAATAAACTTACACGGCGGTGTCGCGCGCGTGGTTAGGCTTGTCGCTTATACTTAGTCGCTTATACTTGGCGCGAGACACTACCGTGTCTCGTGATAGTGC